GAGTGTGTGAGTGAGTGTGTGTGTGAGTGTGAGTGTGTAAGTGAGTGTGTATGTGAGTGAGTGTAAGTGAGTGTGTGAGTGTGAGTGTGTAAATGAGTGTGTGTGTGAGTGAGTGTAAGTGAGTGTGTGAGTGAGTGTGTGAGTGAGTGTGTGAGTGAGTGTGTGTGTACGTTCTCCCCCGTTTCAGACTTCTCTGGCTTCCTCGCATAGCCAAGCCCACACGCAGTGGAATCGGCATTGGCCAAACATCCGAATGCTGAAACATTACCTGCAAATTACTCAATTACACAGCAGCAGCAGCTACCATCACCTCCTGTTACGAAAACTTGGCAGAAAGTGTCTTGAGGTAAACAAGCATAAATATTAACAATCAATTATAGACAGACTATCGGCGTTTGATGCAGTTTTATTAAGTAAAACCAATTGCTTGGTTTATGAGGAAACATTACAATATTACAATCCCTCTGATTAGCACGTTTGGCTACATTCGGTGCGAAATGAAGTTAGCCACAAAGCCAAAGATCCTCCTTATAGCCTTGCAGACTTTTTGGGGCAAGTGCTGTTGACGAACACCTGTGAAGGCCGGCACGGTACACGAGGAGGGTCACCGCATCATCGCGCGACGCTTTCAGATGCGCTTCTGCGGCCGTCTGGAACGCTCTTCCTTCCGATGTTAGGAAGCCACCGGAGCTATGCACTTTTAAATCTAGATTGTAAACTGGTTTTTGGTGTTTAGTTTGTTGTCCTTCCCCCCGCACCTCCGATTAGCACGGCTGACTACGTATTGGTGCAAAATAAGTTCAACATACATACTAGCATACAGTAAAACACAGAGAGATTGGCCATTGATGGAATGTTTACTCAAGAAACTCAAAGACCAGATTCTGTTTGACTTTTTTTTTTTTTACACGGACTGAGAGACAAGTCTTAGGTGGGGAAGAAAGCCACAGACAGACAGATCGACCTCAGATGGGATCTGTTCACAAAATCACGAACCGGGCCAGCCTTTGGTGATGCGGCATTTGGACAACGGGACCAACGACTGAGCTCAATTGCGGCTGCCGCAGTCGTTCCCGGACACGCTGAGCGAATTGTCGGGTGTTGTGCCGAACGGCGCGCGCTACGACCCAAACGGGCCGGCCTCAATGTCGGCCTTTAGACGAGACCCAACACGCTTCATTGCTCGTCCACTCCTCCACAACGGTCGCTCGCGTGTGTGCGACTGCGTTTTATTCTTAACAGATAACGAAAATTCAAAGTGAACTTACCTTCAGTCCAAAGAGGCAATTGCACGAATGGTCCAACATCAGATCTCCGAGATCTTGGCCAAAGGCACCGCAGTTCATTTCCTGGCACTGGCAGAGATCCGAGCCGGCTAGTTTGCGGTCAGCGGACGCGCACACAAAATCCGGCACTTTCGCAGGAACGACGTAGAGGGCCAGCCGTCGTGTACGGAGGCGAGAGCGGGAGGCGAACAGAACAGGGTCGCTGCCCCTGAGTGGGGCACCTCTCGACGGTCGCGTGCTGCCACCCGTGAAACGACGGCGGTCATTGAATGGCGCCGGGTCGATCGGCGTTTACCGACAGCGGGGCCATATGCGCGTCAGCCGGACGTTGCCAAGCAACCATAGAAAAAAAACAAGTAACGATTTACATTTTGGCCCAAATATTATTGACGTTTTTTTGAGTAACCCACAGGCGTGGGAATTAACAGAAACAAACTTGAGTTTTCAGGTGGTGGGGGCTCGACTAAGCCTGTAAAACGAGGCGGTCATTTATGACATCGTCACCACCGCCACCTCGATTCTACGAGACGCCCGGAGTGCCCTCCTAGCCGCGGCCCATCTGGGCCCCGCCGCAGATCTCTGAAGCGAAGGATGCCGGACCGCGATCGCTCGCGGCTATGCGGGGGAGCGAGGGCCATTGGGCCACTGGTACGGTGAAGGGAGCCATTCACCGTGGAGCCATCAACCCCCCGCACAAAGGACGCTCAGTGTCCACGCCCCCCCCCCCACCACCGCCATCGGCACCTCCGCCCCCCCCCCTCCCTCTGATGCCAAATAGTGGGGTCATTATCCACGCCTCGCGTGCTGTGCGGGGAGTGCACTTGCGCTCAGAGGCGGCGGCCACCACCACTTCACCGCCTTTAAAAAGTGATTTGGTGACGAATGTGCCGTCCGTGAAAACTTGTACGCAAAGCATTTGAGGAATGCCGCTGGGATTGCTGCCCGACTTTGCGTGTCTGCGCACGGCAGCGGGAAGTGGCGTGCGAGTGTTGACGGCGTCCGCGCTTCGAGACATGGCTCCCAATTGCGTGCTTCTGTCGCTCTTTTCGTCGTCACCGCACACCGTCGAGTGAAACTGCGCTCGGAGCGTTGTCATTGACACGAGCCAGAGAAGGAGTTCGCCCAACGCGCCGTCAGGTTGTGCCGCGTGCCATTTGGCACGGTGTCCCATGTTTTACTCCACGCTTCCTTCAGCCACCGAAGTCAAATTCGGTTAAGTGGCACACTGCGAAGCCAGCAAGGCTGAGTTTGTTTGCCAGCCATCTGTGGTGAACATCCACAACGACTCAACGGCCCATTCACCAAAACGGAGGAGGCATCGCCGTGGCGACGCGTCACCCCGCAGCTCCCGACTCGTTCATCTGGCGCAGCCACGTCGATGTGAACCGACGGTGGATGTTGTTTAACAGCTTCACAGCAACGTCGGCCGTATGCAGAGGTGGTGCCGAGCGACCTCTGAACTCTAGTCACACGGTGAAGCTATGGTCAAGCAACCTCCCACCAAAAATGTACGGAAATGCCATGAGGCCTTCATCCAGCAGTAAATTTGTGAAGACCAAAACACATCAGACCACTTACCTAACTGAAGGGACTAGAGGAGAGATACAAAACGCAAAGGGCGGGAAAACGAAGGCCGACTGAGAGGGGAACGATTAAGAACCGTTGGACAAGGAGGACGGGGATTGGCTGAGGGAGACAGGTCGAGGGAAGCTTCGAGAAAGGGGGCTCGACGGATGTAAAAAGGGGAAGCACAAGGGCGAGGGGACGCTGGGAGAGAACAGAGCACGCGCTCGTAGAAACGTCCGTTGTTGACAAATAAAGGCTCGCAATAGCGCGAAGGTGGTGCGTTGGTCGCCATTAACAGATTCACAATGGCCCGAACAACATTATTACTGTGGACAAATATGAGGCGCCAGTTTTCAACCGTACGAGTGTAAAAATTACGGAACTGAATTCAAGCCAAAGATTCCTGGTGGGTCAGATAATCATTGCCAAAACTCTACCGTCACACTAAGCCAAGTACAATGACTCATCAAACAAAAACGTCTAACCTGACACCTGGCCATCAAGGGGAACGGTCACAAGAAAAATGTTACTCGCTGTGCCAACCCACAGGAGGGACAACGACGCGGCTACAGGTGGTGCCAAATCAACAATGCCGGAGAAAAACTCCGCGGCCGTAAACGGAAACGTGCATATAACAGGCGACGTTTCAGGCAATGGCCTTTCTTCATTGCGCATACATGATGAACGTGCTGATATGCTGCCAAATGTATCATATCACAATACCATCTGGTTAAAAAGTGCAAGGCTTCACACGTTCTGTTGTCATTAAAGTACAGAACACTGTCAATATAGACACGCACACACGCCGATTTGATCTCCAGGCGCAGCAGTTGCAACACCGGTGCGAGTTTGTTAAAAAGGGGGCACCAGGAGATGTTAACTACCTCGCCTGGTATACAAGAGGTGGCGAGCTCGATCCCGACCCTGACTCGTGCTCTATGTTTGGAGTTTGCGGGTCTATCTTCCCGTGGCCACGTGGATTTTTCTCCGGGTCCTCCAGTTTTCTCCCTCCACATCTAGAATCAACGTCGTGCATTTGGAGTATTCGGCTGCTCTCAATTTCCCCGTAAAGATAAGCCACTTCGTTGGCCAGGTCGCTTCTCTAAAAGAGCTGTATAGCTCAGCGGGCATTGACTGGTAATATAATGAAATAAAAAATTACGACAGTAAAACCAAAAAGTTTAAAACCCTCCCTCCAACCTCCCCTGCCTCCCCGTCACCTTTAATCCGCCCTTGCAGTGCGGGTGTCCTACGCCGCCGCGAGCGCATCGGCACGGCCGCGTGTTGTGGGGTAAAGCGTGGGTCGCTCCCACTGCTCCCTAGACGTACAGTCGGCATGCACGAGTCGGCCAAAGCACCGCCCGCAAGCGGCACTGCGCGGGGCTCCCCCCTTTGTGGGCGACCCTTTCGGCGGAATGCGAGCGAGCGGCCGCAGGGCCGCGCCGCCTTTGGCCTCAACGAAGTGGCTCATCGTCACCACGTGGGAATTTACAGCGGTGGCCAAGTACTCGAAACACGTGACGTCGATTCTAAATGGGGACGACCTGGGGGAAAGTCCACGCGACCACGGGGAGAACACGCAAAGTTCAAATATACAGCAGGCATGGTCAGGGTCGGGATCGATCCCACGACCTCCTGTACACCAGGCGAGGTAGTTACCATCTCCTAGCCAACGTGATGATGATAAGAGAGAGAGAGACGCAGACTCCAAATATACAGCAGGCATCGTCAGGGTCGGAGTCGAAGCCATGACCTCCTGTACACCAGGCCAGGTAGTTAACATCTCCTAGCCACCGTGATGGTGATGACAGAGAAAGACATGCAGACTCCAAATATACAGCAGCAGCCATCGTCATGGTCGGAGTCGAACCCATGACCCCTGTTTACCAGGCAGGGTTGTTAAAATCTAGCTACCGTGATGATGATGAGAGACAGAGAGAGAGACGCAAACTCCAAATATACAGCAGGCATATATACATGTGACAATAGAGACAGTGATGATGATGATGATAGCATACACAAATGTGATGACAATGACTGTCATGATGACGATGACCGTTTATATTAATGTGAGGACAGCGACGACGATGACGACGACAACAACATCGATGAAGGTGCGCCAAGCGAGGGAATGCGAGCAAGACTCACGGCTCTCCGTGCAGACGGCGGCGGCTTCTGTTTGACGCGGAGGATGTTCTGCCCCTGCTCGACGGCAACCTTGAGAGGGGAAAGGGGGAGAGCCGGAGGATGACACGTGATGGGCCCGCGATGAGAAACGACGTCCACGTGGCCTCCGCTCGTCAACTGTGCGGGAGCGCTCGCAACACCGGCACGGCCGTGCGATTGAATGCACGGCGATCCGGGGTGGTGCAGGTGGGACGATGGGACGGCCCTACGTCAATTAAGGCCACAAACGCATTTTTATTGTGTACGTGTCTTCGTACTAAGGTGCCCCCCCCAGCCCACCCCCGTATCGCCGGTTCAGTAGAAACATTGGGAATCTCCTAAGATGTCGAAGAGCTTCAGCTGATAACGTGCCACCGCCCCCACCGCCGCACAGATCTCGCTCGCTCTCGAAGAGAGGAAGAACCACGGACAAGCGGGAAGGCAGCAGGTAGTTAACCCCAAGAGGCTGGTCTACACCAGTCTGGTCTAAGATATTTGTGGGTGCTTTGGCAGTCACGCCACGGGATGAAGCATCCTTTGGGATCTTTCGCAGAGCAGTGGAGATGCATTTATGTTGGAGAACGGCCCACGGAAGCGGATATCACAGGGCTACCACGAAGATCCCTTCTTCTTCAAGTAACCTTTAGAATCATGCGTTTAGAGTATTTGGTTGCGATAAATTCTCCGCACGATAAGCCACTTAAATGAGCTATCGTTTATGACTGCCAGGTCGCAACTGAAAGAGAGCTACATCGTGGCTCCGTGGGGCTTTACCTGGTAGAATAAAATAAATGGTTTAAATTTCGATTTAAAGCTTTCGTGACTGCAGGGATTCATATTCTTGGTTCTTTCGCTAAAGTCACGTAGAAGGGAAATAATTAAATATTTCCCTTCCTACGTGACTTTACCGAAAGAACCAAGAATATAAATGGTTTAGTTCAGACAGAGTTGAGGACAGCACTTCCCACTCACTGTGCCGCACAGGAGCAGTGTTGGTCGCATGGCGGTCAGCAAAACCACGCGTTCATTTTCGGAGCGGGAATTTAGCCAAATTGAGTGCAGAACCAATAAAAAAATTTGTCATGATTATCTTGGTGCGGTCGTTGGTGACTGTCAGGGCTGAGACCCATCGAACTTGAGAACCCGGTTCAATCACAGGCAGCGGCTGTAACCTAGACTGCAACCCAGCATCCTAGCGGTGCTGGTTTAGCGTCTCTGACTACTGAGCCACCCGGCAGTGGCGGGGGCAGTGGTGGGGGGAGTGGTGGGGCGAGTGGTGAGTGTAGTGGTGGGGGGAGTGGTGGGGGGAGTGGTGGGGCGAGTGGTGAGTGTAGTGGTGGGGAAAGTGGTGGGTGTGGTGGTGGGGGGAGTGGTGAGTGTAGTGGTGGGGGGAGTGGTGGGTGTGGTGGTGGGGGGAGCGGTGAGTGTGGTGGTGGGGGGAGTGGTGAGTGTAGTGGTGGGGGGAGTGGTGAGTGTAGTGGTGGGGGGAGTGGTGGGTGTGGTGGTGGGGGGAGTGGTGAGTGTAGTGGTGGGGGGAGTGGTGGGTGTGGTGGTGGGGGGAGTGGTGAGTGTAGTGGTGGGGGGAGTGGTGGGTGTGGTGGTGGGGGGAGTGGTGAGTGTAGTGGTGGGGGGAGTGGTGGGTGTGGTGGCGGGGGGAGTGGTGGGTGTAGTGGCGGGGGGAGCGTACACACCGGCATCTTGCGTCTCTTCAGGACGGGCGTCCCGCTGGGCGTGCACGGTGCGCTCAGAGCCTCCTCGATGTCCAGGTCCAGCTGGTCGAGCTTCTTCATGAGCAGCACCATGGAGTCTTGCCTGGAGAACGACCGCTCAGCTCCCTCCACCATCTGCAGGCAGGGACGATGGCCAAGGCAACAGCCACCGTTAGCTACCGATCGGCGCCGAGTTTGCTGCGGTGCCCGTGCCGGGCTAGGTGCACATTTGAGGCCGGACCAAGCAGCTCACCGCGGGAGAGGCCTTGAAGTTTACAAGGGACATTGGCGAGCGGCACCATGAAGGCAGGCACGGCGCACGAGGGCGTTACGCCACTGGCACTGGGACCGGTTCGGACATCCGCCGTTGATGTCAGCCGTGGTCGGTAATGGAACTTTGATCGCTGGGCGTTCGTTGTGCTGTGCGCTAACCACCGCACCACCGCTCGACATAACAGACTTACACACACACGTGGTGGTGAGTGTGCGAGGTGGTGCGTGTGTGCGGTGGCGAGTGCATATGGTACTGTTGTGGGGAGCGGTGGCGCATTGGTTCGACCACAGTAACAAACATCCGAATAGGTACTGGGCCTCTCCTTAAGTCGACGCAGTGTGTGGTTAACATCAGCATTGGGGAGACAAAGGCGGCCGGGCGTGGCGCCGGCCACACGTGTCTTGCGCCGTGCCGACCTTCGCAGGTGCTGCTCGCTAACGGCACTTGCCACCAAGTCTATTAAGGCTACACGGGGGATCTTTGTCTGTGTGCGGCGCTGTGCAAAGAAGCTTGCGTGCACGGTGCGTTAGGGTTGCCAGGCGCGTTGTGCTGACTGCTCTCGCTGAGGACCCACGGATGTCTGTGACGTAACAGCACGGGACACATTTTGACACCGAAACTGTGCAGAGTACTAGAAAGTCCGAAAAAGGGAGCTCGGTGTTCAGTAGCGCCACACCACGGCCATTCACCACCTCACCACGATCATTCACAGCCCATTCACAGCCACACCACGGACATTCACCCCCTACCCGCCCCCCCGCATACAACAATATTCTTCACGAGACTCAATTTACCCGGGGGCTATTTTCAAGGGCCCGTGGTGTTCTGTCTGCGGTGTACGGTGCTCATCGTCTCTCCCATCCTCCGCAAACCCCCGAATCTCCCTCTCCTCCACCCGCATGCACACGGCGGCCTCTTATTCCGGCAAAGCCCACAAAGAGGCGCACGCGCGAGCGTGAGTGCATGCATGCGCTCACACTCGCGCCTAACGGAGCGGCCTCGGAACGGAGCGGCCTCGGAACGGGGCGGAAAAAAATAATTTGACTGAGCTGTTCAAGTCACGGGCTCGCGAGGACAGTGCGTATATTGTCACGCACAATTATAGCTGTTATGAATAGCGTTGGCGTAGCAGCTAAGGCATGTCACGGTGAACCCCGCGAGCTCCGGGTTCACTTTCCAGTGCACGACCAACATTCGAGGCCGGTGATATCTGAACTGGACCTGGGCACCGCTCCCCCCATGCCTTTGCTAACCACACCGACCGGCATGGTGAAGTATGGTCAAACAACCTCTCATGATAAACACTGTGGGGGGGGGGGGGGGATGCCTTCATCCAGCAGTAAACCGACAAAGGGACATCAATTTAATTGTTTGCTCGAGACAACATATTATTTTACGGCCCATGGAAGTGGACATCACAGAGTTACCTCCGGAGATCCCTTCTCCAACTGACCTCCGGTGCGCACATGGAAGGAGCAAAGCTTTCCCAGCCGCCCTGCCACTGAGAGCAGTGTCCGCCGTGCTCTCACAAAACTTGATATTCTCAATTCTCCGATCCAAAATTGAGACGGATGAAGCGCGGAATCAAGAATTGAACGCGATGGGTTTTTGCGTGCAGTTCAATGAGACCCATAAGCCGACTCCAACCGAGAAGACGGGTTGATCACAGGGTACCACCAAGCTCGGCACCGCGACCTCCAAGCAACCCAGCCAGCTCGTATTTTTGCAAGGAATGAAAGGCCTTCTGTTGCCTCCTAGTGGATAAATGGACAAAGGGAAAATTTTTTTTTTTTACAAACTCTCCGGCAGCGTGCGGAGACGGTGGTCGTCAACCGCCCAATGCGGAACCACGGAGCCGCCGACGACGATTCGGTGCCGTTTTGGTGCGAACGAGTCGACCGTGGAGGGGGCGAGGGGGTCCATTAAAAAGACCGCGAATGCAATCGGGAAAAGTGTTGCGGCTAAACGCTTACCCCCCCCCCCACCCCCCCCAAAGTGCTAAAATGACAACAGCCATGCGGCGTTGTTGTCAAACGCCCCGCGTCTTCCCGAGAAGTCATCCTCCTGAATTCCTCATCGTCGTCAAATCATCATCAGTAATACAAAAAAAACATTGTTCTTTATCATGCATTATTAATTTACCATTTCCCCCGTGTTCACTCGTACCGGGACCGTAACCCCGTTTTTCCCCATTGGAACGAGGTTTACTGCAGCGTTATGTTCCTGAAAACTGAGGGTGGCACAGTAGGGTTTTTTTTACAATCGGGTTTAATTGTCTTTTTATATTAAACCCGACCATCTGAGATTGGGAGAAATCCGGTTTAATTGGTTTTAATTATGAACCGCACTTCTCAACGATGGGCTTCATCCATTCCAAGCTAAGGAACTCACTGGCGCCCACGATTGTGGAGAAGCTCGTGTTCATCAAGACCAACCTGCCCGCCGCATTCTACGACTACCCCGTTCCCGACAGCCCCGAGTACGATAGCAGCACCGACGAGGAAGCAGCCTATCAGAGTTTCGTATTCATTAAACCAGGTTTTAATTCCCCGAAATCGGGTTTAATTGTATTAAAGAAAAAACCCGATGCCTGACGCTGGAAAAATCGGATTTTTTCCACCCATGCTGAAAACGCTCGCGGACAGAGGGAGGGTTCTCGGAATGTGTCGACTGCGGACACCACGCGTGGTGGGGTAGCAGGACAGGAGGAGGCAACGGCGAGAGCGTCGCCTTGTTGGGTTTGCGTTGACCGTTTTGAGCCCATCGTGCGTCGAGGTGGAATCTTTCCGTTTCGCAAATGGACGGGGGAAGAAAAAGCATGCACGTGCGTGGATTCCTCCACACGGCTCTCCAACACGCGTGCTTCTTCCTTGCAAACGCAGCATTCGATTCGCGGCAGATACGTCGACTGGCGTGATGACGTCACACAGTAGCGGGCGACTTTGTAGGATGACGTCGCGCGTGACGTCATCGGGGAGGGAAAGTGAAAGTGCGCACATGGCGTGTGGCATCATTGCCTTGGCCTAAAAGGCTTTCCCATCATTGCTTCGGTTTTCTTTTTCATGTTGTCAAGGTTCAGGCAATTGTTCGAGTTGGCCAGTTCGCTGCGAGGATGACCGGAGCTTGCGTGTTGGTTTATGCTCCTTGGTGTTGGGGTCAGCAGGTTACTGTGGTTCATTCGTGGCAAGTACTTTGTGTGTAATGAGCGCCAAGTCGCAAAAACATCCAACGACGCAAAAGATCCGCTGGCTTCGATCTCCCACAGTGAAGCTCATGGGGACCACAACCCCGGACTGAACCGCATCTACTGCACTAACCACGGCAGCAGCAGATCCAAATACTCGATGCACACGTCGGAAATTACAACAACAAAAAAACTCTCCGGCAGTGCCCGGAGACTGTAGCCACGCAGAACAGAACGGCGGAACGGATAACCGACTCAAGGTCCGAGGGCATCATCACAACGATGATGATGATGACGCTGCACCAATCCGCTGCTCATGACACAATCGTCTGACCCAGCGGCCACCTCCCCGTGCAATCCCAGCTGTTGCTCTCCGTACGAAGAGGGAGGCAAGGAAGGAAGCCCACAAACTTGGGTGACTCTCGGCACAAGCCAACACAAACACTTTTGCCGTTTCCTCTCGGGGTGATCTCACCGCATTGTGTGTGGCCGCGGGAAGCAGTTCTTCTACTGGGAGAGACTCGCAAATGAGGAGCGACTGGCCACGCACGCGGCCGGCCGTGACACCGGGGGTTAGCGGCGACTCCGGGAAGCCCCCCCCCCCCCCGCTCTGATTCAGAGGTGGTGCCCGCCCCGTGGTGGTGGTGCCCGCCCGTGGTGGCGATGCTCGCAGGAAGCACGCAACCAAAAGGTCACCTGTTCACGAGCCGATTTGAAAACAGTTAATCATAAACAAAAGGTTTTCAAATGTGCATCTAATCAGGGCCCCACGGCGTGAACAAGGGGCAGCCTCCAACTCTTTATCTCAATCGATACATCTACTTTTTATTTTACCAGGTAAGCCCCCGCTGAGCTATGGAGCTTTTTTTTCAGATGCAACCTCCCTTTCGCAAATGATAGCTCAACGAAGTGTGCTATCACGCGTGGTGACGTCGATTCTAAATGCGAAGGGAAAAAGCGGAGTAGCCGGAGGGCTCAAACCCACGACCTTCTGTACACAAGGTGAGGGCGATAGCATCTCGCCACCATGGCACCTCTCTTTCTCGCCTCTCTACTTATGTGCTAAGAAGACCCATTGCTAGAAACGTCAAGTCATAGATTTTCCTTTCAAGGCTACACACGGTGGTATTCCCGGAACCTTGTTCAGTTGTTGTTACTACTCGGGGTGCTTTTGCACAGCTGCCAATGTAGCGGCCACCACCAAAATCGTTTGTTTCCTCGCAGGAAGTGAGCTCTGGGCGGAGGGGATGGAGTCTCAAAGGTCGCAACGAATTGATACGGCACGGTGGCTGCAAGGGGACCGCCGCCAGAGCCACACCTGCCGGAGCCAGCTTAGCCCGAGCCAGCTCCACCCGAGCCAGCTACACCCGAGCCAGCTCCACCACCCTAACCAGCACAGCCCGAGCCAGCACAGATTTTGGGTTCCGACGAGCGAGGCCATTCATGAAGAAATCAAGTTATATTGCCTGACACAGGATAAAAGCGACCTCCATTGAGCAGTGAATTGAGAAATGGCTGAATATTATTATAATACATCCTATTACACTTATGCTTATTTGTTTCACCATATCAGATGCAGGAAGTTGCCACTCACACCGGCTGGGTAACAGCATCCGTCCAAACCTAATGATCACCGTCCAGACAAGGAGGCCCTGGGCAGGTTGAAAAGTGCCGTGT